ACACACATACACACAACACACACACATACACACACATACACATACACACATACATACACACATATACATACACACACGTACACATACACACACGTACACATACACACACATACAACACACACATACACACATACACACACAAACACATACACACACAAACACACAAACACGTACACATACACATACAACACACACATACACACCTACACATACAACACACATACACATACATGCAGACACACATACACACACATACACACATACACACACAAACACACGCATACACACACATACACACAGATACATACACACATACACACATACACACATACACTCACATACACACTCTATACCCTAGTTTATTTTCATTGGCTGTTGTTATGTCACAGAAGTCCTATGCATCGAAGAAATGTGTGAAATGTCAGGGAAACATTTTTAATTCAAAATGGTGAGAAGTACAATTACCTAAAAACAACGGAACCTGTCAATAACATGTCTAAGTGCACACACTGTGTATGGATACAAAGTACCCAGAATTACTTCAGCATTGCAAAGCACCCTGCTAGCCAGCATGTGTCTTCTGGAGAGTTGTGTGAAGTGAGTTTGTGTCCCAGTTCACCTTCATAGCTTCAGCTGTCAATGTGACACAAACCAAGAGTCACCTGGCAAGCTGAGACCATAACGGAATCGCCCAGATCAGACTGGCCTGAGGCCATGTCTGTGAGGCAGTTTCTTAATTGCCAACGGATGTCAGAGGGCTCAGTCCACTGTGGGCAGCACCATCCCTAGGCAGGTGGGCCTGAGTTGTAAAGAAAGGCAGGTGAGGTGAGCCTGGGAGCGAGCCAGTGACCGTTTCTGATTGGTTCCTGCTTCAAGCTGCGGCCGTCAGCTCCTCCCTTGGCTCCCCTCAATGATGGTCTATAACTTATAAGCCAAAAATAAACCCTTTCCTCCTGTAAGTTGCTTTTCAGCAGTGTTTTATCACAGCAACAGAGAAGTGTTTCTGAGACGCCCTCCTAAGGACGTGGTCTTCCGAACACGGACACGTTTTTCAGTCCCCTGGCTCTCTGTGCTGTCTGTGTTCTGCCTGCAGACCAGAGCTGCAGTTTTTCCCACCGCTGGGAAGATATGTTTCTGGTGGGATGGACAGTATGATTTTTGCCCAGTGGTTTTCAGAATGTGTGGCACATTGACATCACCAGGAGAGCCACACAAACCCAGACACCCAGTTGCATGTTATCGATAGTGCACCCAACTCAGTTAGGATGCGTTCTCAGGTGATTCAAGGTACAGCCTGGGTAATAACTGTTAACTTGGTTTAAGACCACTGTGGTGGGAACAAAAATATACCTTTTTACTGACTTTTACTGAAAAACCAGAATAAAATGATTTCCTTTGCACTCTACCCTGATTCAGGATTTGATCCTTTTCCGCATCTCCTTCCCTCTGTGCTTTGGCTTTTCACAGCCATCCGTGATTCCCTGGGGCATATGCCTGTGCTCAGGTTTTATTATATTTGGAACTGGAAAGTTCTTCCTGTAACTGTTTCCTATAAAGACTAATCATGTTTCTCCCTAGTTACATGAACACTTTTTAAAAATAGACTTTCCAAGCCCAGTCACAAAGTTCCTGGGGGCTGACAGCAGCTCCAAGGGCATGCAGAATGACTGTAGCTCTGGACCAACCACACGCCCCTGAGCAGCCCAACCTTAGGCCACTAACATGCAGGGTGCACTCGGACAGGACTGCACAGGACTCCAGACCAGGTGGGGGCCACTGTCACCACAGAAAGAAGTTTCTCCAGCTTCTTGTCTCCCCCGCCCTTTCCGTTTGCTTTAACAACTTAAAAAAATGTTTCTAAAGATTTAAATGATTCCTTTGGCCTTTTGAGGCTTGTAGCAGGGCTGGGCTGCAGCTTACTGTGTAGTTGAGGATGAGTTTAAACTTCTGATCTTCCTTGTGCCACCACACCTAGCTTAGGCAGTGCTGGGGACTGAACCCAGGGCTTCATGCTAGGTGGACCCACTGAGCCATAGCCCTTGAACAATACACTGGATTTTTGCACCCTCTGCCACTTTTACCTATAGCATAATGCTCCTCAGGCTATACAAATGCAAATCTGAGTCATCCTACCTGTGACTGCTTAACTCTTGTTTGCTTTGAAAGCCTTGACTAATTTTGGAAACTTTTCCTTTGACCTTCCACAAGGCAGTTTCTTGGACAAGCCTATTTTCTTCACTTTCCAAAATGCGGATAACACAGTCCATGGTGACAATAAAATACTGTATTTAAATTTCCTGACATTTACAAGGCTCTTGGCAATGACAGGTATTTTATGACCTCCATGTATAAGCTATGACCTAATTATTATCTGTATTGTGTGATCAATCCAGGCCTAACTTTTCCTCTTCCTGCCCACACCACCACTTCTTACTGTTCTCTGCATTTTATGTGCAAGGAAACTTAGAACACAATGTTAAATAACTTGTTCAAAGGCAAATAGCAACTGTGGGTTTGAGATTTGAATACTGTAGGACCTACTTTTCAAAACCTCTGTCCTGTATTGCTTTATCCTGGCAAGTTTTGCTTGGGACTGATGCAAGGGTGGAGGGTAAGGGGTGTGGACTTGAAGTAGGAGTGAAAAGCCCAAGAGCTGGCTTGGCATTCAATCCCACCAGGCCCTGTGAGCCTCAAAATTATGGCTTGAATGAAGTAGGAGGCAGTTTGTGGGCTGACCAGGGTCAACTCCCTGTGCTTTTGGCTGCAAGAGCTTCATGGAAAGGCAGCTTCCTCTGTCATCCTACCTCAGGCTACGGCACCTGGGGTGGGAAGTCAGAGGCTAGCATACCAGGATACCTGTGAAAACCTGCCCAGAGCCTGCAGGGAGCTGGTTGGCACAGCACCTGTGGGCGCAGGGGTTAGAAATGGGCCCTGTTGGCTATATAGTGGCACATGGGAGGCCTGAGTCAAATGTAGCTCAGCAAACGAGAGCCCGTGTGAGTTGAAGTCGTTTCCTAAATTCCACCTTGATGTGAACATGAAAACTTTGCATTTATCTTAGGCAGAGGCCAGCCTAAAGGGTACATTAAGAATTCTCGTCTTGGTACTGGAGAGATGGCTCAGTGAGTAAGAGCGCTTGCTGCTCTTCCAGAGCATCCGCACCTGCATCCGCACCTCCATCAAGCGGGTCACACAGCCTGCAACTCCAGCTCTGAGGGATACAACGTTTTTTATGGTCTCCAAAGGCACTGTAGTCACTCGCGTGTACACGCGCGCGTGCACGCACACACACACACACACACACACACACACACACACACACACTTTTAATCTTTAAATAGTTTTGTGGAAAACCTGTATTTTGATGCATGTCAGGAGTGTGGGATTCTGGGAGATGACATCTTCTGAGATTGGACTCTCCTCAAACGAAGGGAAACTCAGAAGTTGTAACTTGAATTTGCCACTTTACTCGACAGTAGAAGAGTCCTTCCAATCAAAACGCAACAGCTTTAGGCTTTCCTGAATCTTCTCTAGGTCCACAGTCATCTTAGGTGAGAACCCGTCAGTGAACCTCGTCCTCAGGGATGATCTTTTACATCATTGGTCCTATTTAGGACCAGAGGCAATTTTTAAAAGCATGTTAGCTAGAGAAGAAAATTGTTATTGTTTGGAGCATGTATTATCCTTTTTCAGTCAAGGTCATGTACATAGTTTAGTATTTATATCCCTGAGCAAGAAACCTGGGCTGAATTGAGGTAGTGAACTTCAGAAAGACCAGAGTTCAAAGGCACAGTGTGTCGGTGCTAAGCGCCAAGCCTTGGGCCAGCAAAGCTAAGACTCAGTTTTCCCTAAATTGAAGACATCAGCTCTTTACAAACGTATTTTGATGTTGTTTATGTGGACTATGAATTAGGGGATAACTTGTGGAAGGGCTGGGCTGTTGGCTGAATCTGGACTCAAACGCCCTGTCCTTCATTTTCCTGGAAGTTGCATATTACTGAAAAAGAGAGTCTGACCGGCCAGGAGGTGCTTTCTGCTGACCTCCCACTGCAGATGGAGACATGGCCAGAAGGGCACATCTACCTTTGGTATGAATTCTAATGCAAGCGTCAAGAAGTGGTCCCTCCTCAGCCTTCCTCACTCTTGGAGAAGCTGGTTCTCAGCTGTTGCTGGGAGCCTCCCATCGCTACACATTACACCAGTGAAACCTTCCCCGTACCAGCAACCCTCGCTCCTACTTGACTTCAGTCAACGATGACACCGTTCTCTGAACTGTCTGATTATGCATCAACATCACTCCTGAGCTGGATACGCAAATAAATCAGTACATGTCACCTAATTCTTGACCAACTATCTCAGATGGGCACTATTTCCCTCAGCCTGTGGTGTAAAAACCAAGATCCATGGAAATTAACATTACTTCTGAGGTCCCAAAGACAAAAATATGAAAACAATGGGATTTCGAACCCAGCTGACATTGTGTTCAGTGCCCCGCCTCCGTTCTAATGATTTTGGTAGTGAGACACACTAATAAACTTAATCTGCTTTACTGAGGCCGTCCTTTAACGGACAGTAATTGTGCACCTTGAACAATCAAGCCTACTGCAGTATCAGGTGGCAAGAAGTGTCTCCAGGCGTGTGAACAAAAAACAATTAGGAGGGGCTGGAGAGATGGCTCAGCGGTTAAGAGCACTGGCTGGTCTCACAGAGGACCAGGATTTGAATCCCAGCACCTACATGGTGGCTAACAACCGTCCATAACTCCAGTTCCAGGGTATCTGACGCCCTCTTCTGTCCTCCATGGGCACTGCATGGCATGGGTGCACTTACATGCATGCAGACATAACATTCATACACATGAAATAAAATTTTAAAAAAGGAAAAAATTAGGGGAACAAATGACTCCCACAATTCTGATGTCCAGAACGTGAGCTTCAAGGATCAGAGACAAACCCGGGGACAGGACATGTCAGTGTAAGTAAGCAAAGCAAGAAAACGGGTTCAGTTTTGCCAATTTTATTGAACCAATAAAATTCCTACTAATAACAATGAAATAAATTTCTGCAGGTATAAATGTGATACAGTTTAACAAAACCCATTGTTCTGTACCTATAAATAGATTTTCAAAATGTCATAAAAAGTGCAGTTATGAATTGTTGTTACATGTTAATACACAGTTCCTTTATTTCAGATGTGTTTGTCTTGATTCACTAACAGTTCCTTCTGTTCAAATAATATTACCCATCCCTCAAAAATAAAGGGGGGGGGAAACAGCAAGGAAGGGCATCACACACTAGAATATTACACATAAGCGGCCCTTCAGGCCAGCTTTAGTCAGAACCGTAAAATCAGCAACATAGAAAAATCAAACCTAATTTTACGTACAAAAAGCTCTCACGGGCCCTACCGTCCCCTTAGCTGCAGACTCCTGGAGGGCATTCGGAGCTGAAGAGGCTTCTGTGGTTAACTACTTTAGACTACATGGACAGCAGGGTCTGGTTTGCCAGAAAAAGTTTAAAGTGGCTGTTTGTTGAGTTTTCTATTTTCAGAATTGAAGCTGTAAGACTGCCCTCTGACAATGAAACCTGTGAATCCTAAATTGCATCAGTGATCTATTGGGAAAAATCTTATTCTAATTCAAAACCTTATAGAGTAAGAGACTGATATATATAGCAGTCTCGAAGATCATGTCCTCCGCCTTACATTAGTCCAAAGTCACGTGCTTCATAAAAAAGTTACAGTAACAAAGCACAGGACTACAAAGGCAGACATCACAGCTTCTGATTACACTGAACTAAAAGTACCAAGGAACTCAAAGGTAATTCTGTATTAATACTGAACAAAGCACTAGAATCGACATTTCACAGCATGCTACATATATCGCTCACAACTGAAGGATGAAATGGAAGTCAAGAAGTCGGCAATCTGATTTTGTGTGCAACTCAGCTACGAAGTCATAATATATACATTCATCATGTAGCTACCCTGCGGAATCAGGATTCAGAGAGGGTGTTCAAGTCCAAATCCTATTCATAAAAGATGCATCCAGTTCTTCCATGACCAGGAAAGTTACTTTCAGGTTTGAAGGAGCTAATCAAGCGGCCACACTCCATGGTGACCTGCCAGGGTTCCTGTTCACCTTGTCCAGACTCTGTGTGCCTATTCACTTAGCACAGAGGAGGTGCCAAGTGGCCTGGGACTGCTTTCACACTGATTTTGATTTGGGTTAAGAGAGTAAATGTGAAAAGAGGAAGGGAAGTGTACTTTCTCTCCTGAAGACATGAATTCAAGGACGTATCTGCACCAGATGGAGAGATGGACCACTCTCCTCGGTGAACGAGGTGCCATCCAGCTCAGCTTCTATTCTGGAGAGCCAGTGAAATTAAGAAAGGAAACAGTCTGCTTTACAAAGAAAACTTCTTGCCTACCCAACTCATACCTTTTTTTCATCCTACCTTTTGATCTTTTATCAGACTTGGGAGCACTAGTTAAAATTTGTAAAGATGGATTACAAAATCAGTTTTACTCTGAATATGAGGTGTACATTTAACTCTTCAGTACCCAGGAACATTTTAACATTAAAGACCAGAGTCTCTTCCTCTTTAATATTCTTTCTGTAGAAATTATACATTCACTTTTAAGACGTTAACTTGAGCAAGAAAATAGACTGTTTTAGCAAAATTTTACATACCAAAATTATATTTATCATATTTAGATTCCTCATGTGTGGTGTCCTGTGAACTATAAAATGGGGTGTGTGTTCTGCAGTTCTTACACGTGTTGCACTGCCTCCAAGGTTTCTACAAGCATTCGAGAGCCAGAAGCTTTCTGTGCCCCCCCACCCCCACGCACCTCTCCTTTGCCATTCTGTACTTGATGGCGGTGAAGTCACAGTTCAGTTAAAGCCAGAGTGTTGTATCACTTAATGAATCTTTCAGTCGCCAAGTCTTATTCCCTAACCAGGCCTCTGCTTCACTCTTGGGCCCTTACAGGCATTTACTGGGCACGCCAGATTGGGTTGCTCAAGACCAAGGTGGAAGTACCCGAGTACCATCAGAGCTGGCAAACTCTACTTCCATGGGTGGTTCGCCTTCGGGTTGGACAGCCTTCTACATAGGTATGCATCTCCACTAGGAATCTGACAGTTTATGTCTGGCTGGGAGAGGAGGGTGCACCTCTTCCTCTGTACACCCCCTTTCCTAATGACACCAATGCCAACGTACCTGGAGAAGCAGCTAGGACAATCAAGACTGTAAGTCAAAGCATTTCCTTTTAATCTCACGGGATAATCCTTTCTCCCAATAAGAACAGGGGAGGGAGGTTAGATGCTTATCTAAGCAACTCAAATCCTTGTGTACCCAGTTTTGTGGGATTTTATCTACATCATAAATCAGATAGGCTTATGTGATCCAGTCTGACCCTCTCAACACCTTTTGTCATAATCCTTCTATGAAAAATGGGTCTTGAGGCCCAAACACCAATAAAACCAAGGTCTGAAAACTACTTCATTTGTGTGTCCCACTACAGGGTTACAGGTCAGTCTGGATTGCTGGAGAATTTTAACTCTACATTCAAACAACTTGGACCAATATTCATTATCTAATATAGATCCAAGTTAGGATGGCAATTCAATCACTTTGAATTCCTACTAAATGTTAAATTCTGCATGGTAGAAATAGTTCAATTTCTGTATCATGTATAAATATAAAGATTCCTACTTTGTAGAAGGCAAAAATCTTTTATGATTTATTTAAAATATGGAAGTAGTTATTACTCAACAAGAGGTGAGCCTAGGAGAAGGCTGGGTGCCTGGGGTTTACAGGCTCTTTGGGGATGAGGTAGAGGAGAGCAAGGGATTTTGGCAGCTGGGAAAGGATGGAGACAGCCGGAGGTGGGCGGGAACAGCGGTGCCTGTGACATCGTGGGTGTCCAGGGCGAAAGTCAGGTAAAATACAGACCGATGGAAGAGAACTGGAGTGAGCTGGGACAAAGCCTTACTCTGGAGGGGAAAAAATAACCCAGAAAAGAACATGCTGGTGACAATCAGCAGGAGGCTGGTGATGTTCAGATGTGAAAGGCATTCAGATCAAGATGGGCTGGGGAAGGGAAGGAGAGCTAGTGTGTGGAGGCTGAGGCACTTGGAGGAGGAGATGGCAGGCAGGGAAGGGTGGGGAATGCAGGTGGGAGCATCCCACCTAGGAAATGCTTCCTTTACGCTAGCTCCAAGAGTCAGCCAGACTCTCTGAACTAAGTTCCAAGTGCTCTTGGAATGTTTCCTTCCTCACAGGCCTCTGCCTTGGCACATACCGCCACCTTAACAACTCCACACCAGCTGTTTTTGTTCTTGGTCTGACCTAAGCAGGTACTATGTAACGGAGCCTAAACAGCATGAAATACGCTACAAATGCAGCGGGTGTTTAAGTTCTATTGACTGACAAAATACATTCATGTTACTGCTTGAAGGAAAGACTATGATTTGATTCTGAGTCTCCACAGAGGTATAGCAAGGAAACAGTCCAGGATGAGGGGCGCCTAGCACAGTTCCAGTTACAGAAACAGGTAACTTAACACTCCATCTAACAGACAGAGGAGCCACATGCCTTTCTGCTTGCTACTGAACTGCACTGCTGGGAAAGTTCTCTGCGTATCACACAGCAGACTGTTGCATGTGCTTGGACTCGTGCCAGACCACCCTTTTCATAGAAGATGAAAACGGCCTATTATGAAGAACATGGTCTTGCTTTCTAGAGAGCAGATTTAGAATTGTGTTTAAAACACAACATAAGAGAAAAACCTCATTTGGTATCACAGTGCACAGCATTTCTATGTCATGCACTGGGATTTGCTCTTTTCCTGCATTGTTAGAGTTTAAAAGAAACTTGCCATCAACATAGGAATGCATTTGCCACTGAAAGTGATGGCCTACTTCAAGGACAGATCTGTAGTTGTTTGCTGATAATTTACTTTGCTGTGGCATAAAAATCTAAGCTTTTGGATTAACAAAACCTTTGGTGGGAAAGGAAAGCATTGCTCTGGAATAAACAGTATTAATTAGACTTTAGAATTATGCAAAATCTTTAGGAGATATTATAACACAAACAAAATAGGGCTCTGGTTCCAATTTTCGTGACTTTTACATAAATCTTACATTGAACTTTCTGTTTTAAAAATAGCCCTGTACAGCTGTGCCATTCTTGGGTTTAACACAGTAGGTTAACGCTAAGGCTACGCCTGGGCTCCATGCTGGCTACCTCTGATTTACAGAGTACCCTAAGTACCCCGATCCCAAAGTCTCTTTCCTTCCAAGTACCCCTAGGATACCTGGGGAAGCTGGTCTGAGAAGCCAGTCTGAGAGCACTCATCACCCCCCATAGGCAAAGAGCAGACGGACTTCCCTGTGGGAGGATAGTCCATACCACTTTTTCTTTCTTTTCTCTTTACTTTTTGAGACAGGGTGTCACTATGTAGCTCAGGCTGGCCTTGAAATCATTATGTATACCAGGTTGTCTTCAAAATCACCATTTCTTGCCTCAGCCTTACATGCTGGGATTACAGGCCTGTGCCAACCACACTTGCCTCTCTGGAGATTTCTTAAAGTGATTGAGAAATTAAGATTACCACAGAAGCTAGTGAACTTGAAATTCTAAAATAAGTAGCCATTGTTGAAGTGTGCACATCAGTGGATTGTCAGGCTAACTTTAACTTAGTAAGCAGGGAGTCGAGGGTTCAATTCTCATGTGCTTTCTCACACACACTTGCACACTTTGATTTGGCACAATGTGAGTCAGTGAAGGCCAGCCTGCCATACGATCATACAGTTATACCAACTGAACCAGATAGCTCTTTTTAAAAATATCACATTTTAATATAAAAAGCTACACTATAAATTACTACAATGTAAATTCAATACTCTGAAAAATTCCACCCTGGAAAACCGCATCAGAACTTCAAGTCTGCACTGGATAGAGAGGTTGACGGCCAACTCCTGTCTGCCCCGAGACCCTGTGCAGCTACAGCGGAGAAGCCACCTTCACAAATCAATTTTTCTAGGTTGGTTCACTGAGGTTCATAAATACATTGCTGTGTTTTTGTTAATAGTTCCAAGTCAACCTCTTTTCCTGATTATTGATAGGTCTGTTGAACTAAAAAGATTTTTCTAGGAGAGAGATCTATTAAAGGCACTAACGTTTCCATAACCCAATCTCTAACTACTTACATTTCTGGGGCAAAACACAAACAAAAACGAAAAGCAAGTGGACACTCCAGCTACTTGAATCTCGTTTCCCTTTCGGTGTAAAGTTCACTGGACGTTCTGCGCAAAGTTCTCCTCTTCGTCAACATCAACAGGACTTCATCCTGTAACACAGCTCACTGGCACACACACAGGGCTAGCAAGAGGAACTGTTTCTAACACTTAAGGAAGCAAATGCAAAAATAAGTGAGTGAATATACCCTGCACTTGGACATCTTGAAGTTGGGGAACTCGGATGGACATTCAGGCTGCCACTTGTGTTTTCCCATCTTCTAAATACTTTCCTTGTAGTAAAAACACCCCAAAAATGTGGTGCTGAAGGAAATCAACATACACCACAAACAAAACACAGGAAACCTGGCACAAGTTCTTCAAATAATTTCTTTAAATAAACCATCCTGTCTTCAGAAAATACTAGTGACTTTTTCCTCACATGTTAGATTTCAAACGAGATCCTGGAATCTAAGAGCGCAGGACCGCCTACGTCAGGGGCCACCGCTGCCTTGGTTCTCTCCAGAACAAGGCCTCAAGGAAAGGAAGCGGATGCTTTACGCCAGGAGAGAATGACCTTGGAGGGGAGCACGCGCCTCCAAACACCACCACAGCTCCTTCCTCGGAGAAAAATGTGCGTCCTGCTGAAGTAGTGAATCGAAGTGAGATCTCTACGGGAACGGCCAGGGAAAAGCTCCCCTATGTAGGGGACGACCTGCCTTACATGAAAAGGTGGGTATGTCTTTGAATAACCGTGTGTGAAACTCAAGTCGCCCCATTAAGCAGAGTGTTTTCGGTGCTGTGTGGCTGTGGCCACTGGCCAAGAGGCACTTCACCTTCATGAACACAACAGGGTAAAGTAAAGCTTTGGATCAGTTGTGCTCTTTGAAGACAGGCCATCCAGCAATGGAAAGCCACGCAAAGTGTGACTTCTGGCTGCTTTTTCTCCCCTATGACTTGATGCATTTTTAATTTTTTACCAGTTGTCCACAGAGATTTTTCTCAGGAAGGAATGCTTTGGCATTGACATCATTGTTCGACCTCAGTAAGGCAAAACTGAAAAACAACCTAGCACAGTAAAGAAATCTGAAGAAAATTTCTTTATGGCTCTGTTAAAAAAGGACACTTTGCAGTGCATGACGGGGAGAGTTGGGGTGACGTTTCAGGAACATATTGCACCCTTTGCTGCTGTTGCTCAGTCACAGTAATGCATAGAAACACAAGCTCTGCCTCTGAGTAATAAACTGCCTAACCTATCATAAGAAATCATGTAAAATAATTTCTAAAAGTCTAACAGGAAAAATAGAGGTGCATTATCTTTCCTTTGCTTACTGAAATATAGAAAAAAACTCTGAGAAAGGAAAAATGTGCAAAGAAACGTTTTGGTCAGTGTTGTGTGGATGTGGGTTTGTATGTGCCAAGCGTGTGAACTGTGAGCGGCACGTGGGCATGGACTGCTCGAGGTGACAGAGGACCACTGTCCATGACGGAGAGGACTGTGCACACATCCCCTGCCACATATACATCTGACATGGAAAACTGAGGCCTCTGTTTCAGAAGGAAAAGAAAAGCTGAATTTGGCTTTTCAGTAGCATGCTCTAGAATTCATCATGATTAATTTCACATTAAATTATGGACAATGTCTGTATCACATTTCACGTTATCGCCAATAGCAATGTAAGAAAAAACTCAGGTAAACACACAAACATACAAACAGTGCCTGACGACCTCCTAGGGACTGGGACCATGTCCCCAAGCAGCTTTCAGCAGCCCATGCTTTTCTCCCATCAGACTTAGGACACAATGTGGGCATTTTAGGATAGCTAGAGGAGGCCATTCTTGTTGAACTCCAACATCTGAGAAACAATTGCTTGAGCAGATTGTAAGCACTTTCCCTATTTTTTAAAAAGTAAAGTAAAATAATACACATACATACAACCCCCAAAGTACTGAAGTTAAGCATTAACAAACCAGTTCATGATTTATGGTCAAATCCAGAAATCCAACTATTAACAATGCAAAGTAGTGCTCCTCAGGATTATTTTTGCAGTTGTTAGTAATGTTAAGCATCAAGAAATATAAAACACATCATTGCACATTACAGCCAAAAAAAAACAAAAACAAAAACAAAAACAAAACAACCAAAACCCCCAATGGCTAAAGTTTGACACTAGAGAACTGAAGAGTTTTTGATGCCGTATCACAAACAACTTCTGGTGTAAATTCCGCGTGGAGAGGTCTTTACACACACTGACATTCTCCCTGTGGAGCTTCAGGTCAGGTGCCGAGTTATGGCACGGAGGGCATAGAGAAGCTCGGCCTGCATCCGGGCTTCCATCAAGAGCAGATTCACATGAACCTGGAATCAGAATGCTATCAGGTTAGCAGCTGCTGCATACAGTGCAAAGTCTAAAGTGTTCTAGAGTGTTCTCAGACAGCACACTCAGGAACTCGGCTTTATGTGCTTACAGATACTACACACACACACACACACACACACACACACACAGAGGCCTGGGCATGCGCCTGCATGCACACCATGACATTCAAACCTGCACTTGTGAAGACATACCATAATGTTGGCGTATGTCTCTATCTTCCCACCAGTTGAATGCATTGTTGGTGTATGCCCTTGATGAGTAAAGAGAATCTCAGGATAGAATCTAGAAGAGGGGGTTACCCACTGCAAATGTAAATCAGCATGAAGATCCATCAAGGCTGGAGATAAAGAGGCATCTGCCTGGTATGTGATTGGCTTTAAGACCTCAAGAACTGTTAAAAGCTGAGGCATAACATACTTTACCAAGGGCATTCAGATAATTTGGACTGTAGGACCCAGGAAGGATTTTCTTACTCTCTAGCTTGGACTCTTGATTTAATGGTTAAAAAGCCAAGGACCCCAAACCAGCTCTTATGTTTCAATGTTGGTAAAGTCCTTAGCACTTATCAGGGTTTAATTTAAATCACAATTCATGTATTATCAGAGGTACTCTGATAATAATATATTTGGTTCAAAGGTCCTGCATTATATTCTTAAAAACTAAATGACAATGAACCCATTACTCTACCAGTTAAATCTGATGACTAACAAGAACCTTGAAGGAGCAGCGTGCAGGCCAGATCCAGCCACACCTAACACCATTGCTTGGTCATTTCTTTCTTTAACAGACTGGTGAATACTTTCCCAAATACACTTTGAAGATTATTAGTATTTAGAGCCAATCTTTCAAAGACTGATGCTAAAATTAACATTACATACTATGCTAGACAGAGCACATCGCCAGAATTTGGTGGATGTCAACATACTTCAAACTGAGGAAAACATTAAAGCAGCTACTTGAGCCTCTTCAGCTTGGATGCACCGAGTTTTCATTCTTGATTGCTGTCCTCTGAACACATCTGGTCTATACTGGCCATGACAGTCTCTGTCCTCTGAACACGTCTGGTCTATGCTTGTCCTGATGTTCTCTGTCCTCTGAACATGTCTGGGCTATGCTGGTCCTGACATTTGCTGCCCCATGAACACGTCTGGGCTATGGTGGTCCTGACATTTGCTGTCCCCTGAACACGTTTGGGTTATGCTGGTCATGACGTTCACTGTCCCCTGAACACGTCTGGGTTATGCTGTCATGACGTTCACTGTCCCCTGAACACGTCTGGTCTATGCTTGTCCTGATGTTCTCTGTCCTCTGAACATGTCTGGGCTATGCTGGTCCTGACATTTGCTGCCCCATGAACACGTCTGGGCTATGGTGGTCCTGACATTTGCTGTCCCCTGAACACGTCTGGGTTATGCTGGTCATGACGTTCACTGTCCCCTGAACACGTCTGGGCTATGCTGGTCATGACGTTCTCTGTCCCCTGAACACGTCTGGGCTATGCTGGTCATGACATTTGCTGTCCCCTGAACACGTCTGGGCTATGCTGGTCATGACGTTCTCTGTCCCCTGAACACGTCTGGGCTATGCTGGTCATGACATTTGCTGTCCCCTGAACACGTCTGGGCTATGCTGGTCATGACGTTCTCTGTCCCCTGAACACGTCTGGGCTATGCTGGTCATGACATTTGCTGTCCCCTGAACATGTCTGGGCTATGCTGGTCATGACGTTCTCTGTCCTCTGCACATGTCTGGGCTATGCTGGTCATGGAACACACCTTCTCTGAGTGCTTGAACTGCCGCCAGTAGCTGTCGTACATGCGCTTGGTCGTTCTTTCAGGGTAGCAGGCCACCGTCTTGATGTACACCTTCAGGCTTCTTTCGAGCAGCTGGTTGACCTCTCCATAGTCATAGTCATCATACCTGTGTGTGACAGCGTGTATCACCGAGAGCAAGTGCCCCACTTCCAGGCACCCCATCAGACGTGGCTGTTTGGTAATTTCATGTAGCAGCTCGGGGAAGGACTATACTCAGAGCCTGTCATGTCATGCTAGGTGGGGGGGGGTCACTAGAGAACAAAGGGGAGAAGAACCAACCCCTAGATCCTCTATAACACTAGGACATGAAAAGAAAAAACTATGGAGCTGTAGTTTATAGACAGTGGTAACTATGTAGAGGAAACGGACCTGAGTCTGGGAGCTATGATTTCAAACAGGGTGGGCAGGCGGCCGCTCTGAGAGGTGGATGTGAGCCATCGCTAATATTTACTAAAAGCTGGAGAAGGCCGAAAGATCGGACTTGGGTGTTTCAGGGCAGAGGGAGACTATGTGTCTAACAGGCTTATGCTAAAGCCAAACACTACTCGTAGACCGACTGAACCAGTTAGACATCTTTAATCAGAAAACTGAAAACTAAAATACTTCAAAATCCAAAACCATGTGACTGAGAGACAAAAGTTAGGGCTTCAGGGCTCCCCCCGCCCCGCCCCAGTGATGGAGAGCAAATCCAGGGCCTTGAGTGTGCTCGGCACATGCTCTACCACTGAGCTGCAGCCCCAGCTTTCAGAGTAATTTGGATATTAAATTATCAGATTAGGAATGCCAGCTATAGGGTCTTTTTATATAGCATATTGCATTATTAGGTGATTTATCAGAAATTTTGTGGTTTCTTGGTTAAAAGTATAGAAAAGACTGCTTAACAAATTGAATCCCAGTTCCACTCCATTCCTCTCATAGATATATTATGTAATATACATGAAACAGTCTATATATAGAGTCTGTGTTTCATTTAGATATATTCAAAACTGCAAAATCTCCCTTTCTGCAAATCTATCTTCATAAAGAAAAAGCACTCAAAGAGCCACACTCTGCCAACAGCCTTTCCGACTGGACCTCTGGGCCCGGCCCGCCTGGCCTTGCTGCCTCTCACGCTGATTTTCCGACTGGACCTCTGGGCCCGGCCCGCCTGGCCTTGCTGCCTCTCACGCTGATTTTCTGACTGGACCTCTGGGCCTGGCCTGCCTGGCCTTGCTGCCTCTCACGCTGATTTTCTGACTGGACCTCTGGGCCTGGCCTGCCTGGCCTTGCTACCTCTCACGCTGATTTTCTCAGTTGAGAAGCCTTAATTAACACATGGATCCACAGGCCTCATTTCAGTGGCCTTTGTGAGCTTTGTGAGGGCAGAATCTAGTATAGCTTTGCTGATACCCTAAATATTATTCTTTCAAAAAACAAGCCACACTAATTACACAAACCTGAATTTATTACAGCGTTCTGAATGGACACCCACTTTTCAAATTTCCCACACTGACCTGTTCTTTCAGAAAGGGTTCTCAAATTGACATATCACTCTGTTTATTCTCCACATTAGTAAATTCTTACTGTTGTACTGTGTTATCAACACACAAATAAATGCAAAACTATTTATTTACTTAAATGTGTCCACATGTGTAGAGATGCATGTGTGCATGTTGGTGTGTGTGCATGTAGAGGCCAGAGGTCAACCTCAGTGTCATTCCTCAGGTGCTATCCACCTTAGTTTTTTGAGATGGGGTCCTTGCTGGGACCTGGGGCTTGCCAATTAGGCAACCCTGGCTGGCCAGTGAGTCCCAGGGATCCTATGTCTGTCTCCACGGAGCTGGGATTACAAGTGTGCATCACCGTACCCAGCTTTTTATGTGGGAGCTGAGGCTCAAACTCCAGTTCTGAACCTTGAAAAGCAGTGTACCGACCGAGCCATCTCCCCAAGTGTCAGACTTACACCACTTTAAATGAAGAAAAATAATCCTCAGATGGAGTTGTTAATTCTGAAGTCCACATGTAATGTTTTTCTGCCAGAAGGCTGTGTGTCTCCCAAGCAGGATATAAATAAAACTAATGCCTGAATTTTCACTCAGAAATTCAGAAAATTGTGAACACACCTGATTCCAAACATACAGTGAACATAGTTGAACAAAGCTCTGCGCAGGGTGGTGGTGTCCACATCCTCATGGGTGGCCATGGTGTTGTAGGTGAGAGTGTAGACCATTCGGAACTTCTCATCCAGAAGATGTCCGATGTCGGAGTAGAGCCTATTCACCAGCGAGAACCCGTGGTTTTCCCAGGTGTAGTCCTGAAAGAAGAAAAAGTGTTCACTTACAAAATGGGCATTCTCTGTTGAAATCTGTTTTTTTTGAAAAATAAAACTGTGGTGCAAGTCAGGGGCGCCCTTCTAACTCAGTTCTAGGATGGCAGGTTTACCCAGAACTCTTGCCATTGGTTTGTACAGTGCACGGCCTGGGTGCTGCACTGCAGGGTTCAGGGACTGGCATGTTTGTGATGGAAGGCTGGCCACACCCCGTGGGCAGGTACTGTGTACACTACGCTATCTGAACAGCCCCAGAAGCTCTTGGAATATCCCTCTGTCACCAAACTTATTCAGAGACGCTGAGTATCTGAATCAGCATGAAGGACTAAACCAAACTTAGCCTGCCTTCCCTCCTGAAGAGCGGCCGGCACTGTGGGAGGCTGGTCCTCAAGCACAAACCTACGCTGTAGTATACATGTCCATTTACCATCCCTTTTCTTGCTCTCCTCCAAAACATGCACAAACAGTACATAACTATCACATACTGATGCAGACGATTAAGCCGTTTCCTTCTGACTTAAGGAGGAATACACTGAAATAATAATCTTATTATTAGGATATCAAATCAGACTGGGTCGAAGACTAAGCTAGATGAAAAGATGTACAGATGTGGCCAGAGTGACCCTGGTGGCTCAAGAAGACTATGTAGATTTCCACGGTTGACAGCTGAAAGGACAGCTTTCTACCTGAGCTCGGAATGTTGGCAGGTGTTCTTCTCCTCGCCTGGCAAAGTCCTCATATCCAAAGCCAGGGTCTTCGACGTATCGGGAGACGTCAGCTGTTAAGACCACGTCATCTTCAAAGTCTAAGGGAAACAACAAAGAACCCGGTGTTGGGGTGCCGCCTGCAGATCCAGTAAGGCCGCATCCGGCTTCCCCCACTTTGCAGCTTCCCACGGATTCCACAAGCGATGGTCTTGACTAGACGGCTTAATCTACAGAAAGTATATAGGGGCAAAGTTTTGGGCACAATTTCGTTACCAAATAGTGGGTATTAACATTTAATTATAGTCAAGTAGTAAAAAAAAGTCTAAATTGCAATATTTAAACCATAGTAGCAAAGGATCAATAGAGAAACAGGAGACAGCTCAGGCCTCTCCAGGGGATCAGGTGGGTTATGAAGAAGGAGAAGCAAGGGCTGAAGATGCCTCAGTTTGAAGATAGAATCTGTCAGCCTATTCACAGCATACAAATCTATTACCTAGTTCACTGGTTTCCAAGAGGGCTCAGGAGGGGGATGAGGGCTCAGGACGGGGATGAGGCTTCAGGACGGGGATGAGGCCTCAGGACGGGGATGAGGGCTCAGGATGGGGATGAGGCCTCAGGACGGGGATGAGGGCTCAGGACGGGGATGAAGCTGGGAGTCCCATGGGAGGGGAATAAGCCTTTTCGGTGCCCTGCCAGTCTTTATCCACGTGGGTGCGATTTGCAGGCACATTGTGCATCACACTGACAATGCGCATTTTCCACGCACACAGAACTAAAGCACAGCTGTAAGGAGTGCCACTAACTGCAACCAGAGTGGGTGTTACAGCAGCAGTGGCCACACCTTTAATCCCAGGACCAGGGAGCCAGAGGCTGGCAGAGCTCAGTGACTTCCAGGCCAGTTGGGGCCTCAGGGAGACCCTGTATCAAAGCAACAACAACAAACAAACAAACCCAAACAACAACAACAATCCCCAGGTTCTTCTGCAAGTCTGATGGTGTGAAAAACTCCCACTGAAAGCTGTGACTGCTTAATGCACATTAGTGCAGGAGGGAGATAGTTTTCTTCCAATTCACTGGTTTTAGGTCATTTATAATTACTTTTTTTTCTGATTTCAACCAGTAAAAGTGAATGAACAAGCTGTATTTTTCTATTCTACAAATGAGCATCTCTTTCTCAAAATAAAAGCATAGCTCCTATGGAATATTTTCTTAATAAGTAATTTAATTGTTAAACTCAATCTTTAGTAAGCGGTAAACATTTAATAAAGTTAAAAAACATTATATGGCATAAGAAATGTAATTATTATTTGGGAAAATTTTTTTTAGGAATTTGAGAAACAAGGGTAATCACACAATTTCTTCTGAACGCCTATTAGACCTCATTATCAATCTTTGCCACTGCATGAAATGCCTAGTAAGATGATCCTCCTTTTCATTTTAAGCTGCTACCCTGTGCTAAGTCGGGTGCTTGAGAACAGCAGGGAAGAGCAGAATCCCAGGCTGCGCAGTGCTGGCTGCATGCGTGAGCTCTAGCTCGTCAGGACAGGGAGAAGGCTCACACTGCACACCGGGTGCAATGCCAGGCCCCTAGCAGCTATGTTTTTCCTTGTTTCATTATATAAAAAGGAAATTCACATAAGAATTAAATGTCAGCCGCTTAATGCTCGTCTGAAGCTTTTCTGTCTTTACGGTGCTGGCACTGATTCCAGGCCTGCACACTGACCAGCGCACCACAGAGTTCCATTCCCAGCCCAAGCTGAAACTTTAGGCAGTTTTCTCTACAGGACATTTTGGGCTTATCCCATAGCCCGGCCCACAGCCAGTTTCTCCTAGTTGTTCAGACACCATTCAAATGTATTTTCTTCAGAATGAGGTAAACATTCTTAGAATCCTTCCCTACATAGACTCTGGAATGCTGTATCACACTAATCAAACCAATAATTTTTAGAGAGGAAAAAATAAATTTCAATTTCCATTCTAAAATTGGCCGATCTATAAAAACAAGTCAATTGGCCACCGTACAGGACCCCTGTGCAACATTATCTTCATGTAGTCAGCAGCCTTAATACTTAACAGCATGCCTAACAGCAAAATTATATAATGGACTGATTTACATCCTCAAATGACATATGATATAGCTTCTTGTTCAAATCAGAATATGACTTCTAAACAGGGTCAAGACTTGCTAGTCAAAAGTCTCTTTCAAAGGCAGTAGTCCAAGAGGTCTACCTTGGGATCTAAAATATATTTTCAATATTTCCCTAAAGGAGTAAAATACTTATACACATCAAGCACTACTGATCTTAAAGAAGCTCCTAAAATTAACGTTTGGAAGCAAATGGACAGTATTAATTAACCTTAACACAAATGTCTGTCTTTTAGTTTGCTCAAAGGTTCACCTACAATCCTCATGTTTCTTGACTGCCACTTGTTCCCCCGATTTTGACAGTCACACTTCTTTAACAAAGTCTGGAATTCTGTTAACAGCAGGAACAACACTCGGTTTTGGACTCAGGCTCCCAGGGATACGCTGACAACACCTCACACTGCACTGAAGCCTAGCACCCCCCCCCCCCCGGCAAATGGACAGTATTAATTAACCTTAACACAAATGTCTGTCTTTTAGTTTGCTCAAAGGTTCACCTACAATCCTCATGTTTCTTGACTGCCACTTGTTCCCCCGATTTTGACAGTCACACTTCTTTAACAAAGTCTGGAATTCTGTTAACAGCAGGAACAACACTCGGTTTTGGACTCAGGCTCCCAGGGATACGCTGACAACACCTCACACTGCACTGAAGCCTAGCACCCCCCCCCCGGGCTCTTATCTGCCCCTGGGTACCGGTCTGCAGGCCAGCAGTGCAGGCGTCATGAGGGGCTTAAAGAGATGTGCCTGCCCAGGGCAGCCCACTGACTACAGCACACAGGTAAGCAGATTCCCAAGCAACTCTGCCCAGAGGCTCGAGAAGCTCAGCGCCAGCTATCTCTGGACTAGACGTCCACTCAGAATGTCCTCAGCATGGCACGGGGTATGCTCCTTAATGTTAGAAAGGCCATTAGGATAAGGCTGTGTCACCCAAGTGACCAACTTCTTCGTACTACTTACCCTCATGTTACTGTCCTAAACGTACCCAACAGCTGCTCCTATACCCACCATCCTGTCCTGCTTATCTGTCTGTGCTAGGCCTGACTGCTGTTCACCACATCCTCTGATTCCTTCCTACCCAGGCCAGTGCTTGGCTTCCTTACACTCAACTCAGAGAATGATCTTCGATCTAAGCGTGGCAGGGCAGGGTTTCTTCCTCTGGGCCCTTACTGGGCCACCCTGGTCCTAGCGAGGTGAGTTTAGTGCCTCTTTTATGCTCACGTCTCCCACCTTCTGCCATGTATTGCAATTGTCTACCTCTTCCCACTAGCATGACAGGTACTGTAGGCAGAGATCATGCCTTAAGACCTCAGTTTCTACCTGGTTCCACATAGGTACCCAATAAGTGTTTATACAATGAATGTAACAGCAGGAGCCTTTCCTTGAGGTTTCCTACTGAGAATAATTCTGATTTGTAATTACAGTTGCCTTCTAAGTGGATTAAAATAGTTACCTAATTGGGTAGGTAAAATCTTTCATTAAAAAAGCATGATTATCAGGGGAAGTGCTTAGAGCCAGGCTTGTTCTTACTTCTGAGAGCTATTCTTCAACACTGTGTTTACCAGAGACACACAGCTAAAACAATTCTCAGAATTTAAGGCTGGCTGATTTAGCTTTAAGATTGTAATTTGTAGTCGGAAGAGCCATTTACATAGACTGCTGCCTTTTGAAGGGTTCTGGGTTTGTGCTGAGTTTATGATGCTTGAATAACATTGCTGTGCGCGGCTCAGTATCTTTAATAGAGGAAACCAAAAGGCTGTCTTCCTGTTTCAAAATTCTTAAGAGAATCAGAAAAACGTGTTTTAAACATTTGTTTTATCTTTGTGTTGTGTGTGTAGGTGTGCCCGTGCCATGGTACCTGTGTGGAAGATAGCGTGCAGGAGTCAGTCTTTCCTTCCACCCTGTGGATCCCAGAATGAAACTCAGGCCTTTACCTGCGGAGCTATCTCCCTGGCCCCAGCAACTGACTGCTTTAAACAAGTAACCAAGACAGCAAGAACGGCCTAGACGTCTGTCTCAGAGGATTCGAGACAGTTGGATGCCGAGGAAGGACGCTGCAGTCAAGGATGAGTGCATATGGTGTCTCTCAGGATCACACTGGCCCCAGAAAATTCCTACTGCCCAAACCCTGCAGCTGACACAGCATCATGGCACAAGGCCCTTCCGCCTAGTCTGTGATGGTCGTACAGAAGGATCTGGTGGCCTCCCAGCCCGCAGGGCACACCATATCGTGCACACAGTGAAAGCACTGTGGCTGGTCTATGTATTGACTACCTCTGCTTATTACTCCTTCTGAGCACACTCCTCCTTCTAACAAGTTGGCTGTGGACGGCATGCCATGTTCTGCGGGCAACAGCCACACGCACTTGGAGCTCGCGCCTCCTCCTCGCAGCAGAAGCCTCACTGTCTAGGTTGTGAGTGCCCTCCACATGTGCGCACAGCGCACTTCTCAGAACACATCCCACTGTTAAGCAAAGCCTGACTGGACGTTCACAGTCACTCCTGCTGAAGACGGAAAGCAAGGACATGGGCAGAGAGCGAGGGGATTGAGGTGAAGGAGATGGCGTGGGCCTTCTTGTGTCCATGTGGGAATGACTGCAGCCCAGTGCTCTGTGAATGACCGAATAGGGCGATGGGAGCGTTGGGTTGGGGGAGAAGCACCTGAACGGGGAAATGAATGAAACGTGTCTCCGGAGACCACAAAGAGACTTTCTTTCTTCTCCTTCTCAAAGCGTGTGGTCATTTCTTCCTGAGTCGTCCCTTCATCGTCCCTGTCTTCTTGAAGCCTCTTCATCCTTTCCATCAGGGCTTCTAGCTCGCTTAGAGAATCCACAATCTGGAACCGTATGAGAACATGGGGTGCGATTAGCACTAAAACCTGCTCCAGTCGGCGACCCCTCCCCAGGGCCCCTTGGCTGTGCACAGAGGCACGGCTCCCTGCTCCATAGATGCTGGGCCAAAGAAGCACGTGCAGTTAGCAGGAATGTTTTTCAAAGGGGCCAGAATAGGCAAATACATAGAGATAAAAAGTAGGTAAGTAATTGCCGACTAGGCATGGGGGAAGAGGATGGGTGGGAGGGGTTATGGAGTTTCCTTTTTATAGGAAGGAAATGTTCTAGACTTGATTGTTGCCCAACTCTGCGATGGTACTAAGAACTACTGGGTTGTACTCTTTACATAGGTGAATTGGATGAAATATGAATTATATTTCATTAAAACTACTAAAAAATACCCAAAGTGGGTCTTTCACTAAGTCCACAGCAATTACATGACAGACTCAAACATTTCTGGATGCAAGCATCTGATTCAGTTATAAATATAACACAGGGGCTGGAGAGATGGCTCAGTGGTTAAGAGTGCTGGCTGCTCTTGCAGGGGACCCAGGTTCAATCCCAGCATCCACATGGTGGCTAACAGCCATTAGTGACTCCAGTTCCAGGGGAATCCAGTGACACAGGTGCATTTACACACATGCAGGCAATACACTCATACACATAAAATATAAAAAATAAATATAAAACATTTATAAGTACATGCATATTTAAGTATAGAATGCTATCATTTAAATAGTAGGTTATATTTTACATAAGATGAAGCAGCCTCAGGACCTACTCTGGTCTGAGGCATGCTTCCCATTAGCTGCCCAGCATCTTACAGACAAACACACTGTTTTGAGATCCGCCATGCAAACGTTTATCAATAAAAGCCCATGATCCATAGAATGCACCTATGTTCGGTTTTATTATCTCTAACAATATCTTTTTGCCTGAGGTGCCAAGAAAGGTGCAGAAAATCTGAGGAAGGATAAAGATACTGGTTAGAGCAAGAAACTCAGAATGAGACGCTGGTCAGTGACGATGACATAAAGTTCGGTTAGTGACAAAATTCTAGTACAAATTTCACCATCAGTGTGAAGGTGAATTCTGTAGTAATGATGTCTGGATTTAAGGGAAGAAAAGAGAATTTTTTTGGTTATATTGTTTTCAAAAGTTCACATGGAGATCATGAAGGCGTTGCCAGGAACCTTAGAGTAATAACAATTTAAAAGTTTGAGGTGGGCACGCAAAGATGTTACACAATAAACCCTGAAGTTAAAAAGAAAGGAAAGTCAGGACTTCAGATACTGGTGAGTTTTTGTAGCAATGAAAGTTTCACAAGAACCTGCCAGTACCTGACAGACTGTCCAGTCACAATGGAGCCTCTCTAGACATTGTCTCTAGACATTAAGATCACAAGAAACAGTGAAGAGAAGCATAAGAAAACGCACCCCAAAGTTGCTGCCCGTCAGAGATGCATTCTCTATGCTGTTGTCATTGGCGAGATCACACACACAGAAGTTGTTCACTGAGATTAGCCGGAATCCGTTGGAGATTTCTGGATCTCTCTCTGGATTGATGCCACTACCAAAAACAAAGCTGGCCAAAGCGTGGTAGTGTGCCAGAAGCACCACGGCATGCACCAGCTCAGGCAGGGACCAGTTATGTTCTCCAGTCTTCACAAGTTTCTGAAATGTGAACATGAACCACAGTGGATAGGGAGCCCTGAAACCCACCAGAGCAGTTTTCAAAAGCAGGGACAAGTCACCAAGCTCAACGCCCACTTACAGAAGTGAGAATGTAAACTTCCTTTTCAAGGCTAAACCTTACAACATAATGCCGTGGTATCTTCCATAGCGAGCCTCTTGTTCCACAGCGAGTCCTCTGCTTCCAAGGTTATGTCAAACATTATTTAAGAGAGATACTTCAGAGAACAAAACATTAAAGCCAGCCAGAAGAGACTTGGAAGATTTTCTGGCAAAGTCATTTATTTTCAGGTGTTCTGGAAATTATGTCCAACAGAGTCACATGGACACCCAGTTTATCAAGGCAGCTGTGAGCTCCCCTCTAGATATGCAGTAGAAACCCCCAACATGCCACGCAGAATATGAAATATGACCTCACAGTCAAGTAAGAACACATCACATTTCTAATTTTCAATGTATTCACATTTCTAATTACCATTTTTCAGTGTTATTTGACTTGATCCTGAGGCAGAATGACAGGATCACAAGTAAACTTGGGAAATGCAGTAACAGGGCGGGGTGGCACGTACCTTTCTTCCTGATTCTTGGGATGCAGAGGCAGAGGGATCTCTGTGAGACTAGGGCCAGCCTGGTCTAAACAGCAAGTGCCAGGCCAATTGGGGCTACAGGGAGACCCTGTCTCAAAAAAAAAAAAAAAAGTAATGCCCTGTAATGGTTAACCTTGGCTGTGAATTTGACTGGTCTTGAGTCAAAAAGCAAACCACTGGGTGCTTTTTTGAGGATTTTCTTGATTGGATTCTTAGAAGTAGGAAGACTCACCCTGGAAGTGGTTAGTACCATTTCCTGGGTTTGGGTCCTGAGCTGCATGAGTTAAGAAAGCAGGCGGAGCGGTGAGCTGGGCTCTTACTAACAATCTGCTCTAGGCTGTGAGGAGACTAGCTGCCTGTTCCTGCCTTGACCTCCCTGCAGTGGGGCTGTCACCAGGACTGTAGATTATAGTACCCGCCCCGCCCCCAGCTTTTGTCGGGTATCTCTTCTCACACAGAAAAGAAACACAAGTGGCCGCACCATTTCTCCAAGGTGAATCCCACCATTAAACCACCAGGGACTCTCCAGCAGCTCAACGCTCACTTGCCTGTTACCTTCTCTCTTCCTTTCTCTACTCTTTCAAACACTAATCATTCATACACAGTCATGATCATCTACTTCTACCTCCTGCTTTCCAGGTATGATATTCTGGCCTGCTCATCTCCAGGAGGCTACACTGTGGCACTGGTTTCAAGCATAGCTTATACTGTGCAGGAAGGCATCACCCAGCCACTCCTTGTCCCTGGGCTGGTGTCAGAGCACTGCTATCTTGCTTTCTACTCATTTGCTACAATAAATGCTTCTTTAAGCTTACAGCTCCTTCTCTTCACAGCCTCATCCTTACCACTTGGCTTTGAAATGCTGGCTGGTCCTGTTCTGTACAGAGCACTCTCCTGTACAATGTCTTACAACCCAGGTGGATGATTTGTTCCTTCAACTTGACTTCGGCTCATCTGTAGACAGCTATCTGACTCCCTCCCTCCCTCCCTCCCTCCCTCCCTCCTTCCCTCCGAAGTGCTGGGACTAAAGGCGTGTACCACCACACCCGGCCTTCTTTCATTTTTTAAAAATAAATAATTTATTGAGCATTTCATACATGCATACAAGGTGTTTTGATCAAATCCACGCCCACTCCCTCCCCTCCAACTCCTCCCATATCTCCTTATCACTTTTTCCTGATAACTTCATGGACTCTTTCTTCTTCTTTGATTTATTTTTTTTGTGTGGGGCTTTTGGCTACTCTAACATTACCCCCTCTGAAGAGGTAACCCTAAAATCTTTTAAGGATTAGATAAGAGCTCCCAAATACATTCGACATTTTTGGCCTTTGGCACAGAGTGTATAGCTAAGAGGACAAGGACATTGTGAGCTTTAGCCAAGAAACTGGCTACATTTTTTGGGGTCTTTTTACCCTAACTGCCTAGCCAATTCCTACCTCCTGTTCTTATCACACCATCCTCTGAAGAGGTTACCCAAATTGCCAATAGGGAATAGGGATGACGACCGCTCTGGCTTCTTCCACGCTGAACAGGGATGCAGGGTGAGGCAATTGGAGTAACCCTTCTGTGGGTCTATCTAAAAGACTCCCAAATTGTATAACTTATCTCTAGGGGAAAATCTTTTTTTTAAAGCTAGGTTCTCACATAGCTCAGGCTGTCCTCAAATTTAAGATGTGGCTTGGGAGGATCTGAACCCCTGACAGTCTTGTCTCCATGTCCCAAGTGCTGGGACTACAGGAGTATGTCTCTGTGCCTGCCTTCCTGATTTAATTTCTCACCTGCCCTGTCTCCTGAACTAAAGACCTTATTTCCTCAGGCAGCTGAACGTTACCTGATGGAGGACATGATCTTCTGTTTCAGGCCTGTGAGTGCTCTTGTCGGGGAGGAAGCCCTGGAGTCTCCACTCAGCTCTACCCACACATCCTTCTTAGCCTCCTGCAGAATAATCACTGTAGTCTTTACACAGCCTAGGGCTCAGACGACACCCCCTGCAGGCTCGGTGCTCCACTGGCCTGCCTTGGTTTGGGCCATCTGTAATCTACCTGTGTGTCTAAATGTGCTCATAATACAGCGTGGTCCGAATCCTCCAGTGATTCTCAGTGTCTAGTCAGAGGGGTCACCAGGCTCTTTCAGCCGTGTGCACTTCTAATGACTGGGCCCAACAACCCTCGACATTATGCAGTCCATGTGTTCATAAATTAAGGACATTTGTATATTTTAGATAGTACACATATGTATTATGTAATACTAGTAAAAATATACATACACAGGAACTTAAAAAGATGAGAGCTGAGTGTGGTGGTATTTTTCCCTGAGGTAGCATAACTTGGGAGACCACGGCTTTCTGAGGATAAAGTACAAATTCTGGGCTGGGGCGATGGCTCAGCGGTTAAGAGCACTGGCTGCTTTTTGCAGAGGACCTGGGTTCGATTCTCAGCATCCACATGGTGGCTAACAACTGTCCATAACTCCAGTTCCAGGAGATCCAACACCCTCTTTGGACCTCCACGGGTATTGCACGACACAGGTGCACCTACCTACATGCAGGCAAAACACTCATACACATAAAATAAAAATAACAAAGTAGTTTTTTTTTTTAATTGGTCTTTTTGAGACAGGGTCTCCCTGTAGCCCCAGCTGTCCTGGAACTCACTATGTAGACCAGGCTGGCCTTGAACTCACAGAGATCCACCTGCCTCTGCCTCCCGAGTGCTGGGATTAAACAAAGTAGTTTTTAAAAGTACAAATTATGTAATATATTATTCACTGGGTCAAACAAAATGATCCCGAGTCTTCCCATTCCCAAGCCCCACCTTGTACACAGATCCTCATGATCCCGAGCCTTCCCATTCCCCAAGCCCCACCTTGTGTACAGATCCCCATGATCCTGAGCCTTCCCATTCCCAAGCCCCACCTTGTACACAGATCCTCATGATCCCGAGCCTTCCCATTCCCCAAGCCCCACCTTGTGTACAGATCCCCATGATCCTGAGCCTTCCCATTCTCAAGCCCCACCTTGTACACAGATCCCCATGATCCTGAGCCTTCCCGTTCCCCAAGCCCCACCTTGTGTATAGATCCCCATGACCCTGAGTCTTCCCATCCCCAAGCCCCACTTTGTACACAGATCCCCACCTTTGATACCTTGAAGCTGTTAGCTATTCTTCCAACACACCACAAAATGCACCCCAGTTTTCTATGGAGCTGCATACTTTGGTCTTTCGATGAAAGCCCTATTCTATTTGAACAACTTTTCTTCAAGTCCTAACTCAAACGTCCATTCTTTTAAGAAGCCTGCTGACCCTGTTCTGTTTACCATCTATTTGTATACGACTACACTGTATTTACCATCACCCCTCTCTTTCCCCAGAATCCATGTACATTCAAGGGCAGGGTTTTCATCTTTCTAGCTCACAAAGTACTTATGATGTGACATAAAAATAATTATTTACTCACTTATCTAGTTAACATACTACTAAATCAGAATATAAACTTAGGACAGTGCTGTGCTTTACAGAGTCCCAGAAAAGCCATCAAAATCTAATATATATATACGTCCTTGCTTATCACTACCACGTGCCGAACACCGTGTTGAGCCTCACAGGCTGCTGACAGCACCTCTGAGACCCACGTCCTCGCTCAGTCATGATTTTCATCTAACCTGAAGCTCCCATGGGCATTGCATTTTCATATACCAGCTGCCAAGTCATGTTTTATTTGCAAAACCATTTATCTGTGAATTTTAAAATTATGAAATGTGAAAACTAGTAGAAGGCTTGGAATGCACAGACCTCCTCACCACAGAAGTTACTTACTGAGGGGGTACACGTGTGCCAGTAGCACCCCAACCTAGACATTCTTGATGCTGATGGACTTTCTTTGTTCTACCCATGGCTTGAAAACAGTAACCAGCTTTTCTCATGGCCACTTAGCAGACTACAAGGTCAAACTAATCAGTGATTGCTTGCTTAAGGATGCACTTATAATTAAATGAAACTCACTGAATTTCTATTTTCTGTACATAATAGTACTTATTTTTATAGTTCCTAATAAACAGACGTGTTTACAATTCAGTCTTTAAAAATCTTAAACTAAAAACTTAGAACCTTAGTAAATCTCTTTTTTAAACCTAGAACCTTAGTAAACCCCATTTTCATTTCAAAGAAACACTCAGTACCTGAATGTGTTCTTTCGTGATCAGCCAGGGGCGGTGTGCTAGCAGCTTATTAATTTCATTAAGATTTCTCAGTCTTTGTGGCACATATTCCAAGCCATTCAACCACTCAGCAATTCCTCCAGTCTTCAGAAACTCATCCACGTGCATGTTTATCAAGTAAGCGCACTGATGTCGAGCTGCAGCCTAGAGCACAGAGACGGAAATGTATTGGTGGAACTGCCATGGAGGGTCTATCCCACTGCGTACAAGCAAATCATTCAGATGGAGCTAACAGCACTTTTAATCAATAACTTCTCTCACAAAATCCTTCTTCAGAAGTGTCTGTCTCACCGCTGTCATGGATTCCTGAACAGTACATGAAGCTGACACGTACTGTGGGAAGGAAATGATTGTCATATGAAGTCAGTTACGTCTAGCGGCATTTGGAATAGATGAATCCAGAGCTGACTTTCTAGCTGTTTTAAGAAATAAACTACACCTGAAATTCACAGGCTGCTGTGCTGAACAGTGAACTGTATTTAAAACAGTCACATTTCTTGAACTCCGGTCCTAACAATCCATGCTGACGTGAGTGCCTCTCTTAGCTAACTGATCAGCTACACCTCACCTCCGGCCCTTCTTAGACACTGTCCTCACCCACCCTCCCCTCCTATAGGCAGAACTGGCCTGGTGCTGACAACTCGGACACTGAACAGAGCGGAATTCTGTGTTCTCCTCCTGCGGCTGCTTCGCCCCAGCACAGCCCTGGTTCTTCCTGTCCTCTGTGCCCTGGTTCTCTCTTAGGTGGTGAGTGCTCCCAGTCTGCTTTCAGCTTGTCATGGAAACCTTGAGTTAAAATTATTGCCTTCATCAATTCATCATTTCGGAGAGCACAGAACGTGGCTTTTTGTTTCAAACTTCAATCAAATTCAACTTGGTAAAAACTTCTCTTCTAGGTCCCGGTGGCTGTGCTGGTTCCTTCAGCCCAGCTGCGGACTTTCCCTCTCCTAACACATAGCCCAGGGCGACTTCCTGTTTCTTTTCCCCAGCAGCAGTCCAGGCACAGCACTGTCTGCCCACCTCCAGGCTCCCCCTGCCAAGGCTGGATGGCGCTGTCAGAGGGGAGCCTGTATCAAGGCTGTGCTCTGGAGTGCTGCGTCACACCCAGACTAGAGCCAACTGGTACTTTCTTCTTTACTTAACTGAACTAGAGATCACCTCGATGGGTGAGAGACTAAGGGAAACGTCACAGCAATGGACGCTAAAAGAAGACCTCAGCAATGACAAAACTCGAGGAGGAATATATTTTGGATCCAACATCCATCTTTAACCATAAGAAATTAAATTTGAAAAATGATTCTGTTCAAAATTAAATGAGAAACATTCAGGATATTGATTAGCTTAAAGCACTGTGGATGTATCTAAGCATTTGGTATTCTAAAAGCCACAGGCTTCTTCAGTTATGTTCATAGAACTATATTTAGTTCCACACACAGACACACGCACACTCACACAAACATGGGCACACATACACAAAGGCACGCACACATGCATACACACATGCGCACACACACACACACACACACGTGTGCACACACATGGGGCCCTTAGAAGGGAGAAGGCTAAGTGGAAGGGAGGGAACACCTGAATGAGCAGATCAGTGCCTACCATGACAGCTATGTAGTGCCTGTACGGGAGAGGAAGGGGGCCGTCCATGCGCAGCATGTAGAACTGACTCCGCAGGAAAGACTCCAGGTACTGAGTGTGCAGACTCATCACCTGCGTGATGTTGTCCAGGCGACCGGACGTCGAGTACTCTTCCACAAGAAAGTTTGTTCGTTCATCCACTGTGTTTGCTTGGACAACCTTACGACCGAGAGACAAAGAACACTAAAACCACTGTGATGGACAGACACCTTTGGTTTATGTGAATTCTGCTGCTGCTGAAACACATGGGTACTTGTTTGCTAGTAACAGACACTGAAATCACATGTTGCTCACACTAGAAACGGAAATTTTTTCTAAAAGAAAGTATCGTTCAGTTTTGGCTTTGGTACCACAATTTATTAAACAACAAATGTTAAATTATCAAACATTAAACACACGGCTATAAAACTGAGGAAAAGAAGCCTCCATCTGTTTTTCCAGACGTATGAGGCAGATTTTTCAGAGCCCACTTGCCTGGCCATTGTCACACAAATGTGTAGTGAGGCAAAACCAGTAGGCCTGATTACACGAATTTGCATTCTGATCTCACCAACTTAAAGTCAGTCACATATTTCAGATGAACATTTCCAGTCAGTCCTATGTTCGTTTTTACCACTCAACATTAAAAAGCTTTATGAAGTCTTTTTAGAGACACAGGGACGTGATGATTTGTGGTAAAGTGTTAGCTGAAAAATAGGGAACGAGACACTGTCATTTCTGGTGTAAACCTACCATATAAATTACCAAAACGAGACATGTGAGTAGAGAGGACATACTAGGATCAAAGAGCTTTCTCAGAATAGATTATTTATCTACAGCTTTATACACGAAGACAGCTTGGGTGTCACACAACAAATTGGCTTTGGTGGTGTGAAGAGCTTGTTAGCACCTAGTGGAAAGACTCAACTCTGCAGGGACCTCCGTCGCATAAAAGCCTACCCATTACCGCTCACTACTTGTGGTACTTGAGGATCCCACATCCAGACTGAAGACCACCTGCTCCTTATTTAGGATGTGGAAGCAGAAGCTGGACTCGGTTCAACCTCCCGCATTTAGTCAAAAGCAAAGTGGGGTTTTGTTTATATATTTATTTTTAGGGTTTTTTTGTTTGTTTGAGACAGGGTCTCCCTGTGGCCCCAGCTGGCCTGGAGCTGGCTATGAGACCAGGCTGACCTCAGACTCAGAGAGGTCCACCTGTCTCTGCCTCCCGAGCGCTGGGATTAAAGATGTGCGCCACCACGCCTGGCCCTGCAGAGCTGTTTTGACTAGGTCTCGTAAAGTCCAACGTTCAAAGCCTTTGGTCTTTCCAAAGGCTCACACTGTGACTAGAAAGCTGTTTTCTCAGAGCTGACTTCACAGTTTTAAAAGTATTTTTCAGAGAAGTATAAGTTGTACAAAGGCATAATCTTAAAGGGAATATATTTGAAAGTGTAAACTGTGAAGAAATGTTGATTACACTGGGTGTACAGTAAAGGGGGACCTCAGCTCCTCAGGGAGCAGTGGGGACTTTCATCTACCTGCTCCCTGTTCTGTCCCCTGGAAGGACTGAGGTCACAGTTTAAAAGGGACCCAGATGACCCAAATCCAACAAGGGCCAGGATGTGTAGAACTTTTGCTGGGTTTGGTTTGCTTTCCCCAGAAGCATCTTCATCCTCTCCGGCTTCCAACACACATTACTAGATTCGTGTACTGCAGCAGACCCTAAAACCCCTGGCACTGGAGGATGGATGGCATCAGCAACCATGTGGGAACCAAACCGGGGTCCTCTGTAAGAGCAGCCAGTGCTCCTCACCGCTGAGCCATCTCTCCAGCCTGATTGGTGGTCCTTGAACTTTTCTTGGCCTGATAACATCCAGGAGGCATCGAGGACTCCAGGATGACTCTGCACACTGCTGTCATCTTCCAAAGACGCATGGCAACAGAACGGGGCAGCCCTGCTCTGATGACAGAGTCCTCTGTGTCATCAATAACTGCACTTACTTGCAATTAGCACCCTGACACCCCACCCTCACCAAAGACGCATAGTTGGAGATTCTGTGACATCCTGTGTAATCAGAGGAGGGGTAACCACTAGTGATGAGTGCACTCCTGCTCAACTTGAGGGTGCGTTGGCATGCTTTACTTCGACGGGTTAGCTGGAGAACTCAGGTTTTCATTTCAAAATATCTTTCAATCCCATTTCTGTAAACATAAGCACTGTGAAGCACTGGTCTTTTAAAAACTTTAAACAACTTTCTGATTTTCTTAGTGGAGTTGAGAAGAAAGTAACTCCATGGTTTTCTGATATATGAATGAAAACAAGCTCAAAACACATTTGTGTGCTTAGATTAAGAATGGATAGTTTTGGTGGTTTTAGCTGCGCTGTATGTATTTAAGACGATGGACTTCCTCCTACGCTGCATGTATTTAAGGTGGACTTACCTCCTTCTACACTGCATATATTTAAGGTGTTCTTACCTCCTTCTCTGGAATGAAGGCACTTGGTCCTCTTGTCAAGGGTTGAGATACTCTGATTCTTTTATCCTGTTTTTAAAAGAAAAGTTCAATGGGTCAATGATGACTTTTCAAGAAAAGTTAAACTGCTAAGGTACTAAAAGGAATAGAATAAATTAAGTAAACAGAATTATGGAAAACCATTCCAAATTTTGGGTGTATAGGACTGCTGTGTGGCTACAGGATAATGGTCTCATCAGACCATTACACCTACGCCACAGCACTGGGAGTACAAGCATCATCACAGGACTTTACCCCATATTTGACATGACTGAAAACCATTAACCTCCATAACAAACTCGTACAGTAGTATGTTAAGAAATATTAGTATTTTGTCCTCACTTCAGTGTCTCTACTGTAAATCACTGAAATTTGGTGGTATTGCTTCCTTCTCCATAGGCATCTTGAGACAGGACAGCTCTTGAACTCCTTCCTAGCCGGGAGAGGAGATGGAGGAAATGGCCACTTGATTTTCTCCAATAAAGCAATGCTCTAGCTTTGAAGAAACCCTCTGAAGCCAGCACATGAAAATACAGACTGTGCTAGGTTTATATCAAGGACTACAGAGCATGTGCCTATTAGAAAAGTTTATTAAGCTTTAGATGCCATAACCTTCCCAAGGAAACTGCCAAGTTAGGAAAGTGACTCAAGTGGTTCCTTATCTGAAAATGGCAACATCTCTTCTGTATGACCCAGTCTCTTGGCTACAGTCTAGGATAAGATCTCAACTGGCCAAACTGGAAGCTGACCGGCAGCCCATGGGTACATGAGTACAAAAGTTTGGGCAAAACTGAGTTGAGGGAAATTAGCAGGACAGCATAGTCTTTCGAGACTATACACTAGAGTTATGTGAACGTGATGCAATCTGAGAGCCAGAAAAAACAAAATGCCACTCAAAAGCAGAGGCAGGAGGAAACAAAGAGAAGCTTGGGGTGGGCACTGACAGAAAGCTGCATCCAAGGGGGAAACCACCAGCGTTGCTATGGATTCCTGGAAAAAGCAAAGCTTAACCACGGCCATTTACATTCACTCCCCCTCCTTCTCTCCTTCCCCTTGTCAGGGGGTAACTTGAGTCTTTCTTGTTCCTTACAAATCAAAGAGCCTACCAAACACAAAATAGTTTTTTAAATCCTTTAAACCCCTTACTTCATTAGGAAGTGGTTACAAAACAAATTGGCAGAAGCAAGCAGTCAGGTATGCACATGAAGGTTCTTGAGAGCCTAAGAACACAGACCCGTCCCAACCCTTCTGAGCTTAGCACACTCTCTGTCAACTGTCAGTGACGGAGCAAAATGCACACATTACATACTGACAACTTTACACTGCCAGTTCCCAAACAAATTACACATCTAGACACAAAGTGATACAAACAGCTCTCAATCAGCTGACAAGCACAGCAGACGGTGTGAAATGGATTAATCCAGAATTTCTAATATTGATATTTCTTGTCTACATCAGCTATAATCTAATTTGTCTAGAAAAAGAATTCTAAATAAAGATATATTTTCCCTCTGCAAATTATAGCAAATAAAATCAAGGCGAGTGTGGTGGTACACACCAACTCCAGCAACCCTGTCTCCAACACACACACACACACACACACACACACACACACACGAGAAACTGACCCTACTATCTATATAACTTAAGAATTAGTATGTGAAAAGCAGTTTCTTAGATAACTAATCATTTCAAATAAACAAAGTATTTGAGAAACTGATTATAAGGAAAAACCATAATTTGAAGAGAAAAAAATGTAGGGAGTTACGTTAAAACTGTAAAATAGAAAAGTGCGTAAAATCCAGAGAGCTATGGGGAGGGGATACATGCAACCTTTATATTAAACTGCACAGCAGACTTCAGAGACAAGAGTGCTGCAGTACTAGGATTTATTTATGAAAATCATGAGTTCATAGATTTATCAACTGAATTACCTTTAAATCTTGGAACTTTTTATTTTGTCTACAAAAATATTTTTTTGAACAGGTGATATTTAAACCTGGAATGCATTTTCCTTATAAATGGAACCACAAGCTACTGTACTTAAACGCACCATCACTTGAGAAGGCGGGAGTGTCCACAGCTATGACATTTGTTACACACCATGGCGGATGGAGACACAGTGATGAGTGAAGAGGGTGCTGGCAACTACCTAACCATTTCCCTTTTGACGATGTTCCCTTCTCACATCACCAGTGATCCCATGACGAACATCTTTATAGCAAGAGACTTATGGCATATTTTCTAATATTTAGTATGGATTCTTTAGCAAGGCAATTTACTGGGTTTTAGGTTGTAATTAACTTAAACTTATTGTTGCATACTGCTATGTAAAAATAATGATTTTACCAATTCTATTTTCATTAACTGAGAAAATGCCTACATAACCCATTAACTTCAAAAGCGGAAAGTGGTATGTAAAATGGGCTTGAGGGCCTCGAGATGGTTCAGCAGGTAAGGGCACTGGCCCCGGGAGCCTGAAGAGTTGAGAGTGATCCCCAGAACCCAGCTCCCACAAGTTGTCCCCTGGCCTCCACATGTGTGCTGTGGCACATGCCCGAACACAAATAAAAATATAATTAAAAACGTTTTAAATGTGCCCGAGTCCTTAGATTGTATGCTCACATGTGGCAGCAAGCTTATAAACAGAGATGAGAGCAGATCTGCGTTTGCAATACGGTTCTGGGGTGATACTGCACCTGGGCCAGAGAGAAAGCCTGCGGCAGAGCTATGGTGAGCGCCCAGGAGAGGTGGTGCAGCCCAGCCCTAGAGGTCTGTGTGCTCACCAAACAGAACTGACACCATTTCTAATTTCACCATCACATATCTTTCCTCAGATATATGCATGCAATATATAATTTACATATATGCCATATATCTACCACACACATATAGTATACACATAAACATCTATTACATATGTAATGTGTACATATATGTGCATGCATATATAGTTTTGTTATGAGACAGGGTCTTGCTATGTAGCTCTGGCTGGCCTGTAACTCACTAATGCAGACAAGGCTGACCTTGAGCTTGCAGCAATCTCCCTGCCTCTGCATCAGGGGTGTTTAGATTGCAAGCCTGCATCACCATGCCTGGCCTCCGCTGTTTGTAAATGGCACCACTTTTGACATTATCAGGCTGGTTTGCACCTCTGCACACAGGACACTATTCTGATGCTCCCTACCACCCTGGTGCTCCCTACCATGCTGGTGCTCCTCCACTCTGTTAACAGGATGCTTTGCACATTTACATAAAGGTAAAAACAACTTTAAAAATGGTCAAAACAGTGCCTAAATTTTATTCTGAACTCATCTTACTCAGGAAAAGAAAGTTCTGCCACCTCCTTCTCTGACTGTTGTAAAGGGAGGACCAAACATAAGAGAAATAAAACACAAAACTGTCAAAGGGATTTTCCTTAGAACCACACTCTGCAGCTCTAATCAAGCTGAAATACCTTCTGGCAGCTTTTCTTTGAACCTGAAATGCCGGCACATCAGTTCTTCCGCCATTCAAGCGGATAACCTTCCTGAAAGCCTAGCTCTGCTGCCCAGTATGATAACCACTGGCCACATGTGGCTAAACTGATAAAGTTTAAGGCTGTTTCCATCCACAGTGGTCATACTTCAGATGTTCCACAGTTGCATGTATCCACAGCTGCCATGCTGGCCAGTGCTGAGACCCCGCCCCAGAGGACTGGCCAGTGCTGAGACCCCGCGGGTCCTTAGAGGACTGGCCAGTGCTGAGACCCCGCCCCAGAGGACTGGCCAGTGCTGAGACCCCGCGGGTCCTTAGAGGACTGGCCAGTGTTGCTTTCCAGTCTTCCCAAGATCCAAGGGTCCAGGTCTCAATTCTGTTCACAATACTCTCTACAAAAGTACTGAGCACTTTGTCCCTCTTACATGCTTTTCATTAAAAATTAAAAACACATGAGATCCATCTCCTTACCAGGTGTGTAATACACAATTGTCAGCTATGTTCAGGGACGTTACTGTAAGAGCAGCTCTGCAGGACTCCTTAATCTCAGTGAACTGAAACTTTAAACCCATTTAACAGCAGTGCCCCCTGCCCCCGGGGCACTGTAATCCCACCTTCTCCTAAGCAGTCTTCTCCTAGCTCCTGTACACTTCACACTCTCCCTCGGCTCTCTCCCACTGCCCAGATTCCAGGAACCACCGACACACTGGACACTACTCCTCTCCTTGCACTTCCCACGTAGTTACTCTCAAGTGGCATTGTCGTCCACAGCTTTCATCTTTAAACAAATGAAGTTCAACTGGAGCCTGTGACAGTGGCGGGCGCGGGGGACGACGAGGAGGAAACCAGGGCTCCAGGGGAGAGGAACAAGAGATGTTACTCCAGCACCTCTGAACCAGGGGCTCCTGTCAGCCTTAGCCGGCAGTGCACGGTTCTGAGGCACCATCTCCCAGGCATGGCCAACCTTTCACCACCACAAAATGACTCTGTCATCTACAAAGTCCATGAGGTAGAACTGGACTGAATTACAAAGAAAAACAAAAAAATAAATAAAGCTCCTAATGTCTTAAGCGAGTTTGTGAATGGGTCACATTCGCAGTCATCTTTGGCTGCATGCAGCCAATGCAGGGTGGACTTACCTAAACACTCAGGTTTGCACTAATCCTGGATAAGATTTTATGGCCACAGGTTATTAGAACCCCACACCCAGGAGTGGCTCTGGACTCACAGGGTCAGCTTGACTGTCCCCCATCTCTAAGTCCTCTCCTCCCGACCTCCCCCACCATCTCTGAGTCCTCTCCTCCTGACCTCTCCCCCATCTCTAATTCCTCTTAGTTCCAGGCTAGAGCTTCCCCTGGGTAGGAAGCCTTGACGACACTTAAAACTGAAACAGGCAAACACGATGCAAACTAAGGTATTTCAACATTCCTTCTGCCCATTTCCCCAAACACAAGAAGGGCCCCATAAATATACAAACAGTAGGTGAAAGAATCTTGCAGCTCTACTAAATTTAAAAAACAGCAACGTAGTCTATCTATCTCTTTTTTTTTGTG